ATTACAGGTAGTAATAATTATAAAAAATAGTCCCACATACATCGCCTACTGTTTTCGGCATGCAAAGTTAAGTTTTACAATATAATAAAGTTAAAATCTTACATTCAATAAAACCAATTACAAAAATGCTTACAACTAGGATAACATAATTATTCCTCCTGACATATTATTATTACTTTTCTTTATTCACATATTTATCATTTTAGTGACTTACTAAATAACAACACACTTAGTATTGCACACATTAAACTTTCATTGTAAGAAACTCATCTAAGGTGTAAAAGCAACTGTTGACTGAGTGGAGATAGTAGAAAGGATTGAAAGTAGTACGTAGGTATAGTTTTCAGACATGTTGTTTCTTTCTAACCCACCACTTCCCTAAAACAGGGGTTGGAAGTTTGCATGGAGCACTTCGTAATTTTCAAGAAACCTAAAATTAGGGTCTGTGACCAGGGAAACATCGGGCACCAATTCTTTTTTTATCTTTTGTAAACTTTGTAAACCCCTCAATACTTTAAAAGAGTGCGAGCGAAACCGGGGGCAGTAGCTAGTCCATGAATAAAATATATTTAGTTTGGTAATTGGATACGTATTTTTTCTTTAAAATGTCTGATTCTGATGCAGCTAAATACTATTATTAGTCCTTGAAAACTGTTTTCTATTGGCAGTCGAAGGGTTAAGCATTATAAGGAGTTTTTGGTAGTATTTTCACACATCGGGTTACATTATCGAAATTTTTACACGGTTCCCTTTTCTACTCTAATTAATTATAGCCTATGTTCATCATCGATAAAGTAAGATTCGAACGAAAAATAATTTTTCAAATCGGCCGATAGTTTCGGAGGAGATTCCATTCAAACAAACAATCAAACAAAGAAAACATCAAATATTTTCTCTTTAGACTATTATTAGTGTAATGTAGATGTAGACAACGCGGCTCAACACACACAAACTACAACACGTAATTGATTTAATTACTAATTCCCTAAAATTCAAATAAGAAAGACGAACGCTCCGCCGGCTCCACCCCCTAGCACTCTACTCTACACTCTCTCGGAGTCTCTCGACCCTACGGTGCGCCGTGTGTGCACCACAGAAATATTAAAAAAATCTTTAATATATCTGTGGCGCACACGCACACGCATTCAGTTTGTGCTTAGGCACTGCCGGGGGCAGTCGTTTGCGAAATTGTTTCGTAGGTATTACGCTTTACTATTTATTATCAAAATTCTTAGTTGAGTGTTTATGTGATAATAATAACAGAAAATTAGTCGAGATAGTTCACCTTTATACCACCAGTTGCAGTGAAAACAGCCTCTATCGATCGAGCTATTCGCATCGTACCTAAACTCCCAACCGCTGACTGCTGGCTGTTAGTCTGTTACCCAGAGACTGCAAGTGACCAGTGCTTGAAACACATTAAAAACAAGTGTCGTAGTGTTCATAGTGTTGGTGTCGCTCAGTACAATCAGTGATGTAGTGCATAACTGTGTTACTGTGCATCACAGGTAGATGGCGAAGACGAAAACTTCGAACGAAATCTCCGAGTAACGCAGGTAATTTATTTACTTGTACATTTCGTCTCTAAATATACTAAGTTTTAAATTGTTTGTGCTTATTCAGCAGAATATGCATTTAGTAGGTATTGCGAATTTCGAATCAGCTGATTCGTAGGTATCTACGTGGAATATGAATTTACTAGCTGTGCCCGCGACTTCGTTCGCGTGGTTGTCGAAAACAAAACAACATCGTTTACATAACAGTAGGCTATATACATAATATGAACTCCTCTCAAGAAAGTGGAATAGAATTATTTTTTTCAATAAAGGTCCTGACTGTAGTAGGTATATTTTTATTTGGTAATATTGGTATTTGGTTCACAAACGGCGGAGTAATCGCGCCACATACAAGCAAAAAAAATACATACAGCCGAATTGATAACCTCCTAATTTTTGGGAAGTCGGTTAAAAATCAATAGAAACGAACAAACGAACTGCCAAAAACTAAATTAATAGATATAAAATAAATAATTAAAATAATAACAAGAATAAAATTACATTATACGACAAAATAAAAAAAATCCTTGTCTAATATTTTTTCATTACCTAACTGACGGACTAGTTGGATTTTTAATTTTCATGCCCCGTCATCATCCCTATTACTTAAATGTACTTATAACTAAATGTTGTACCGGCGTTGAAACATATGCTTATATAGAACTTAAGATATTTCTAGATAATATGCCATAGTTTGTGTGTTCTAGTTACATAAGATAAGTTATGCTCCTGGGTACGGTGGTAGTTAACTACTAAAATATAATGTTTGAAAGTAATCGGTACAATCTTGCATAGTATTCTAAATAATTTTCTCTAATCACCTTTACAGCTGCTTTTAGTTTTTTTGTAATAAGTAGTTTTAAGAATCTATTCTTGACCATTATTACGTACACATTGACATGTCTGCTTATTCTATTAACATTGCTGTCGCTTATTCTGAAATACTATAAAACTTAAACGATGTATTATACACGTATTTATAAGTAATGGCCAGAAAACTTTTCTTAAATTGAACATTTAATTCTTCTTCGGTGCTCAGTCACACACGACAGCAACACGACATCGAGTCGACGACACGCTGCCAGTGGTGACGTCACGCCCGCTCCATTAGCCGCGTGCAGCGTGACACAGCCGGCGTGACGTCACACCGCGCGCCGCTGTCACTACCATTGTGGAGGTGTCGCCTTGCTGCCAACATTTCAACTGTTCAATTGATCGTTTCGTACGAATCGTACGAACACCTCCTCGGGCTACTCGTGCGTCCAACTCGACATACTACTGTGTTCGTCCGGTCTAAAATACATTTTCCTCAGTGATCGTGTGCCGAGTCACATTGTTGACACAATAGTTACAGTTGGTCTCAGGTGTCGCCGGTGGCAGTCGGTCATTAGATGTCAGTGAGACGGTACAATGGCAGACAGCGCCGCGTGCTGGGCACGTGTGGGGGCGCGTGTCACACGCGAGCCCAGCGCGCGCCGGGAAGCTGTGCCAGTCACAGCGCGTGCTAATTATCGCGCAGTACAGGCGCGGCTCGAAGCTGCCACGTGTGTCACTGTTTCGATAATGATGAGAAAGTGTCCATCAAGATATTGTAACACTTCACAACATCTCGATGGACACACTGAGGACAGTGAACCATATCAAGTGAAGGCATCAGTACCTAGGTACATGTATGATGCTCGCTTTGTGGCTTTAGCGACTAGCAAATTTCAAACTAAAACTGAGGACAGTGGCCGTTATTTCCATGTGTTGTAAATGTATAACGTTTAGTCCCACACGTAATAATAGTTGACATAGACGTGAGACGTGCTCACATTATCAACATCGAGATACCATAAAGAATGACACGGCGCTGATTGAGCAGTGTAACTCAATAAACTAATCAACTAACGAGCGCACTTGCTGGGCGAGGTGTACGCAGCTCCGAACAATTTACGCCGCGACGCGTACAGTCGCCCGCGCAGATCAATGTTTACTCGTTTGATTGCCATACGTCGAACGCGTGCCTTTATCGTAATGAGCTGTTTATATGGACATCCAACCACAGCGACGAGATACAATGCGATCCCCACGTCGGCACACAATCCATTGCTTGTTCTGTTTCCAGATAAGAATTGTTAAAGCGTTGCCACCACGCAACCGTTGCTGAGCCGTACATAAATGTCGGCATGCAAAGGTGAATGTTAAAGCGTCGTGCTACTAGTCCCCGGATGAGAGTTACTTATGTTCGGTCACGTTTAGGGCATAAAAAATGGAGCGCTGTTTGCAGTGAAGCCCAGAGGATACGATCTATGCGAATAATGTATTATAAACAAATAAAACCGAGTGTTTTTCTGTTTATCCCCAATTTTACGAGGTTTCAGCGCGTCTATCGGTAGCGCACGCCGCGCGGCGCCCGCGAGCGAGCGGTGATACCGCGACACCGCTCTCCGTCGCTGCTTCATTACATCTTTTACCAAGTCTTAATAGTATAGATCATTGTTTGATTACTACATGGTGTCGGCTGTCGGGGTAGGCAGCGTACGAGTGCCTACTTCATTAGTGTCTGTCTACTCTCTGTGCAGCAGCACCTCGCTCGCTGCCTGTGTGTGTAAGTGCATGTAGGTGCTCTAAATTATCATCACGTTGTACGTGTATGTGTGTCGGTGCTGACCGCGAACTCTGCAACACATGAGAACGAAATGACTCTGGATCAAGTAACAACCCACTGCAAACTATAACGACATCTACAATAGTCGGGTATTGGGCAGGAGAATGGCTTGAAACAATGGAGTTGCATGAACATTAAATTCTTGTTTATATTATCGGGCACATTATGAAGTATCTCTGATCGGTGGCGACCTCTGACGGCACCCTCGGGAGTTGATGGCAGCTTTATTCTTGCTACAGTTGAAGAAATGTCCAATGTCGAGCGATTAACCGTAAATGCTAGATATAATTGGTGATGTGGACGATTACGTCTAACGACCGTTTTTGTGGCCTCGGCTGGGTCTGGCGGCGGCAGACTCTGGCAGAGGTCGCGACACTTGCCGCTGATGTGAATTAGTTCTTACAATCTGACAACTTGTGACACTCGCACACATACACACACACAGTGCTCGGCAGTCGGGAGACGCCTTGCGGATTCCATAATTCAGGAACTCTCTCTCGTTGAGATAAATTTGATTACTCTTATCCTGTTTTAATCCGTGTCGACACTCGCCGGGTGTCGCCGGTCGCGGCCTGCGTTTAATATTGCAGTAAGTCGGCCGGCGGCGCCCGTCACAGCACAAACTCTCTAAAATTCCATAACATTATGTAAACGCATCTGCATACACGCCGCGGGAACTTTATTAAACGAAATAATGTAGTGAATACGTTGCCTGACTCGCTCGGCATAATGAGCAATCTCGTAGCGCTACGGCGTAGCCGGCGAGCCTCAGTAGCCGAGAGGACCGCGCGCCGAGCGCACGCTACGCTGCTACGCCGCTACGCACCGCGCGCTACGATGGCCGGCACTTAGTCGCGCGGAGTGTAACTTCAGTTCTGTCGTAACTTTGTGGGAGTAAACAAGCGCCGCCCGGCGTGGCCTGTACTGCGTGTACTCGCACTACTCGCACTACTCGCTCTACTCGTGCTCTGTTCGTTGTTGGTCACTAGTGGTGCTGTCAGTGTCGCCGATGGTCAAGATGAAACGGATTTGTCACCTGATGTTCCGGCTGCTGTTCCTGCTAGACGGTACGTCACGTGTCTGCTACAACTTGCTCGTGTTTTGATGAATTCATTATTTAAATGCGGCACCCGCCGGAACCGGTTATCTTGTTAAACTAATTTATGGCGGCGCAATTATTATGTTAACGCTGTTAACTTAAAGTAATTACTTTACAAAGGTTTATAATTAAAATGAGTGTCATGGTTTATTAAAGTCGTCGCCACAATTACGGCGCGCGGTGTTTGAGCTGACAAATTGTTTTACTTTGGTATTGTTACCAACTTTATCCGAGTAACAGTCGTAATATATCAGCCATATAATGTCTGTCGCGTGTCAGTCGTCACCGGGTGGTGTTGCAGTCGTGTTGCAGTCGTGTTGCAGGAGTGCAGCGCTTTCATGTCGCGATAATAAGTTACACAAAACTAATGATACCCGCGACCTCGTTAGCATTATTTAAATAGGTGTATTATAATTAATTTCCCAACTTTTCATTAAACATTAAGATCAAACTAGGTAATGTATATTATTGACACCCACAGAAAAAGCCACAAACACAAGACACGTAGATATTGCACACATTACTATGGGGCCCTGTAGTACTCTCCATTCTATTTACCTGCTACTTGCTCAAAAAGTGTACAGCCATTGCACGCCGTGTGCTGCAACAACTACGTGTCTGTCGGTGACACAATAGTCACTCAGCGACATAACATTGTTGTTATCAGCTCCAGTAGAGGTCACTGATACAGCTATCAGTGCCAGCGCAGTGTCCGTGACCACCGGTGTCACGGTGTCACGGTGTCAGTGTGTCTGTGTGTCTGTGTGTCTGTGTGTCTGTGTGTCTGTGTGTCTGTCGCGCTCACGTGATGTCTGCCATCAGTGCAGTAGTAGTGCGACAACGCGAGCCCGTCTGTGATTACACAAATGTTTATGAATTGATTCCTGAACAGCACTCGTACGCTCTGACAGCAATATGACGACACGCCGTAGTTTCCGTGTCCGGTCACTCCGCCTGACTTTTAAACAGTGCTGCCCACACGAACGACCGAGAGCGAAGTGTAGTGTTGTAAAGATTTCTTATTGGTAGACAAATGTGTCATGGTACCTATACGATGTGTTTTCGTCAACCCGATTACAATTAACTATTTACGATGGTGGTGATTTGCCTTCAACGTTTGTCGTTTTGCACATACAGCTCCATACAGGACGGTCTAAGTAGAAGTTTGTACATACATACATTGTACATCATATTCCATATTTGTAAATTCTATAGGTATACGACACGATATAATACACAGCGTATTAAAATCCGGGACATGCAATATTTCGCGCACAATTAGCGCCAGGAATTTGCATAACACATTATGTCACCCATGGACCCCCTCCCCCCAGGGGGGATCATGGGCACCATGAGTCAAGTGACGAGTATAAACTCATTACTCGACTACAATACCATCTCATAAAGATAAGAACACAATATTTTTATATAAGTGTATCATTGTACGTATGTATATGCTGTCAACACAGATTAGTACTCGAGCAATAACATGCAATAAAAATAATGTGATTGTGAAGAGTGTCAGTCAGTAGCCCTCGGCCGAGTGAGTGACAGTCACACACAGACACTGAGCATATAGTTATATGAGACAGTAACGTGACGGTGTCGCAAGTGGAACACAATAATGAAGAGAAAATGTTTTATTAGTGACAACACAAACTACTAGCACAACTAGATCGTAATGTAATATCACTCGCGATGTACTGGAGTCTGATATACGCTGTCAGTGGCGCGCTGCGAGGACATGTCCAATATACATGTTACAATATGATATACTTAAATAGGCTGATCTAGGGCGCGTCCTGGTGAGAACACTTAGTACGTTAGTGACAATATCAGTGTTTGTAATAAGTACTAAAGCGATACTTTATCAGAACATTACGACCCACACCCACAGTGTGTGTGTAGAGGACAGCGCTATATGTCGGACACTCCATAATATACTTAAAATAATAGAAGTAACTAAATATTTAAATTTAGGATTGTGGCACATAACGAGTACCAATCGATTTGTTGTTAATTTTAAAAATTATACATTATTAACTGTTAATTAAGTGTGGGCGAGCCATTCTTCGTCACAAATGGGCCGGCTCGACCGGAGTGATACTACGGCCGAGCAGAAAACCGACGTGAAGCAACTTGTTTGCGTTGAGTTTCATCGTGTGAGTGAGGTTACCAGAAGGCCTCTCCCATCGCCAATCTCTTGAATCTCTGACCAATATATAGTATCCATACGCTATTACGCTATACTTATTGGTCGCGTACGACTTGCATGTCGGTGCTCTCTACACTACGCGAGTGACAAGCTGGCTGCTTACAATAATTAGACAGTTAGTGTTACATCGAAGAGCCGGTAAATGAAGGATATCAGCCGCCGACAAACAATCAGTAATGAACAAATCCGTCGGTGGAGGTTACAGCACAGCAGTAGTCAGCCATTATCGTAAAGCAGTCGGTTGTGTGAGCAGTCAGTGCCGCCGTAACCGGCCACTAATCAATATTACCATTACCGGCTTTTATTGCCCCGTAGTGCGTTGTGTTGCCTCGTACTGCCCCGCTGTGCTAGTGTTACGATATGCTGCTCGGTAAGTAATTATAATGAATGAGTGAACATAAAAGTAAAGTCCGACGTGTCGGAGTATTGACTCGCACTAGACCATGGAGTATAATATCACGCAACTGTTGTCTATGGGGGTGTTACTAACAATACTAATGCAACTACCCTCATGGATGTATGGTGCGGCGGTGCGCGGTGCGTGCTGTCGCCTCTCGTGTTATTGAACATGTATTGTAGTGAACCAAACCTGGAGTTTTAGTGCCTGTGGCGTCTGTGTTTGTTGGTCGTGAAACAGTGGTTGTTTAATTTATTGAAATCATTGTTCGCGACAATCACGCTGGCAACTTTGATGACTGCGAGCGTCGAGAGTCGAGAGGCTCTCGGCCGCGCCGGCCGCCGCCGCCACTGCGTCGCGATGGTGGTGTAGAGCGCACAGTAAAACAAGTACAATTATGTACTAGATAATTAACACGTGTTAATGATTTAGTCTAGAGAAAGTTGTGTCCGTATCATGTAAAAATATGTAATATAATGTTTACACGCCATGGATGAGCTTTTGATTTTTATATCATTTTTTATTTCGCCAACGAATGACTCTGGGTAGTTTATCACTGCTTGCCTTCTCTGGAGGATATGTGCAGTCTGCGATGTCATTGTTACCCGTCACATGCATTTATAGTTAACTACATATAATTAATATTTTCAGCGGTTGATGGAGGGTGCTCTATATAGGTATCATACTCCGTGACGCGGGGGCGCGGGGGCGCGGGGGCGCGGCGCCCTCGAGCGCGGAGCTTCAAATTGTCATCCACTCGAGTCTGTTTGTTTTGGTTCTATTTTAATTATACCTTTCATGATTTTGGAATAATTCTAATTATACTAAGAAGATTAAAGCTACAAAGTTGTCACAATTATAATAAGAACAATTTGCAAAGAGACGAAAAAATGTTTCCTTGTGGAGTCGCCATGTTGTGGAAATAAACATTTTCTTATTTTGACATTTCCCGATGGATCGTCGTGTAGCTCCTGATAATATCCCACAAATACATTAATTGTTATTGACCGCAAGCAATCGAAGCAAACAGTTGATGACATCGTCAGTCGCGAGCTGTGTGTCGTGTGTCGTACTGTGTCGTGTGTCGTACTGTGTCGTGTGTCGTACTGTGTCGTGTGTCGTACTGTGTCGTGTGTCGTACTGTGTCGTGTGTCGTACTGTGAGCCAAACTCAAATACTAGTTTAGGGAACAGAGTGGAAAGTTCCCTAATATCGGAAAAGGAGGATCCTCCGACCAGGCGAGGTGATCGTGCCTGGCGGGCTTTCTGCCCAACAGTTGTTTGTTGGGATTTTGTATCCATTATTATTCTTGCTTGCTTGTAAACTTTGCATGTGCGATGTAGGATTCTTGTGACGTCATCCGTTGGTTTGTGCCACGTGTCGCCACACGAGATCAGTTGGGAAGTAGGCGAACTCGTTCGGAACACAGAATCCATTCAGTTGTTTTAAGTATTAATGTATTTATAAAATTCATCGTGGCGGCGCGGCGGTCTCCAGGGAATAGTGTCTACTAATGTGGCCCTCCCGGACCTCGCAGGGGTCACTCTGAATTATTGAGTGAAGGAGTGCTGCGCGCCGCGACACACTCACTACTCGAGGTAGTAGTGTAGTGAGTGTGTTACTAACCAAACTTTTATCTTGTCGTCCCGTGCTAAAGTGAACAAGTAGAAATTATGCACTGAGTACGCGGGCGAGAGGGCCACATTGAGGGCTGATGTATCGCCCCTCTACAATCGGTGTTTCATCGGAGATCGATAAAAACGTTCTGTACTTTACAAGCAAAACTAAATTTAATGTAATCGCTGTACCCGATAGAAGGCGCCCCTAACAGCAGTTGTTATCGCGAGCCGGTCGTATAAAGGCCGCTGTAGTGAAAACCCGACGCTCTGCAGCTAATCCTCAATGATATAAAGTTGGGCAGTTCTCGTGTGTCGATATAAAAAAGAGAGTTTACGGAATTTATCTGAACTGTTAAGTCACGCTGCGCGCGTGTATTGCAATTTGCATTTATTTGCTAACATAACATCAAACCATCAGCGAACCAGGGGTTGTCAGAATGAAAGTCACACTCGTCACTCGTACCGCGAGCAATATGTGGGAGCCTGCACGGTGACGCCGCGCGTCTGTGTGTGTGTCAGTGTGTCAGTGTGTGCCTGTCAAAACAACAACAACAACAACCGTTGTGTTGTGATACACAAACATCCCGGAGGTAGGCAGTAGTGTCCCGTACACTTGTACCATTGTCGACCGGCACATGAGTATTATGGAGACTGCCATCAACGACCACTATTTGCCACTGAGTAGTATCCTTACAGTTACTACCCAGTCGGAGTAAGGTGGGAAAGGAAAGAAAACT